CATATAAGGACATAGTACAGGAAGAAAGAATTAGTTCGTAGAAAGAAAGACATGAAGCGATTTTAATCTCATAGTATAAGGGAAGACAGAGAGTGTATACACCTACGTCATTGTGACCGATTCTGAACCATATCACCCACAGTCTCCAACCATTGATTACGACAGTCATGCGAATCTCAATCAAGTAGTCTACATCTACCTTTCAACTTGGCTCAGACTAGAAGTTAGTGACTTCAAGCACTGATGTCACGTTTATAATTTTGTTATAGAACTATTCATAGTAAATCACAAATGATATTTTGTTACATAATCAAGTTGATGATCTACTTTCATTCTGTTTATTTTATTACTTTATTGTCTGTATAAACATTGTAATATTTTACTTATGGTTATTATGTAATCTCTTTGTAACGGTAAAGGGTAAAATATTGATCTACAAATGACGTCATGTTAACAGATATATCCATTATATGAGAAATGTAACATTTTAATTAAGCATATGATTATATGTAACTTTCTATAATGAAATATTCTCAGAAAGATGATACTTACTTACTTACTTACGCCTGTTACTCCCAATAGAGCATACGCCACCGACCAGCATTCTCCAACCCACTCTATCCTAGGCCTTCTTTTCTAGTTCCATTCAATTCTTGTTCATTTTTCTCATGTCTATCTTCATTTCCCGGCGTAATGTTTTCTTTAGTCTTCCTCTCCTCCTTCGGCCTTCAGGACTCCATATGAGGGCTTGTCTTGTGACACAGTTCGGTGCTTTCCACAATGTGTGTCCTATCCACTTCCAACGCTTCTTCCTGATTTCTTCCTCCACTGGGATCTGGTTTGTTCTCTCCTACAGTAGGTTGTTGTTAATAGTGTCCGGCCAACGGCTCCGAAGTATTTTGTGTAGACAACTGTTAATAAACACCTGTATCTTCTGGATGATGGCTTTTGTAGTTTTCCAGGTTTCCGCCACATATAGTAGAACTGTCTTCACATTTGTATTGAAATTTCTGACTTTGGTGTTGGTTGACAGACAGTTGTTTTGAGTTCCAGATGTTCTTCAGTTGTAAATATGCTGCTCTTGCTTTGCCAATCCGTGCCTTCACATCTGCATCACATCAGAAAGATGATATTGTGGAGTAATGTAGCAATTTAATAGTTGAATTCATGAATCGATTCAAGATAGATCATCATTGAAAACTTAAAAACAGTAGATTGTCATTTCGTTCCAGTATAGGATTCCTTATTAATGTGTACTCATGACGCCACACCGTGTGATGTGTACGCGGAAACTTTGGTCTCGTATGCCGACACTTAAAATTTAGATCACTGAGTAGGCATCCAAATAGTTTTAATATTTAACTTCAACCAATTCACAAAATTGCGCCACCGTTTATCATTGAATTTAGTGAGTTACTGCCTTAAAAAAATCTTAGGTTATAGTCTCACGTGTGATGTTGGGGATGTGCACTGCTGAAAAGTCTTGTACCATGATGAAATGGACATTCACTGCTTCCAGGTTTTTCATGGTGGTTTAGGTTCTTCCAAAATGAATATCATTGATCAACATTGATAAATGATGTCTATCTGATAAGAGTTCATTTTCAATCAAGTTCAATCACATACAAACTCTTAAGTGATAAAAACTTATTGTTCTACATGAGATTGAATCTTGTAATTTTGAATTCCTTGTGAAGTATAGTATTACTTGTTATATCCCGATGGCAATAATGAATGGTAAGTGTTAGGATCTGTTTCTGGATTATTACCATACGTATTTTTTATTGTATAATAGTTAAGTAACTAAACTATACATATTCGTGTTCCTCTTATCATAAGCTTTATTTGGACTTATGAACTATTATTATACGATTTACCATTCTTGAGTTATGCCCAGTCTATCAATTACTATCTCCTACATTTACAACCACTTCTAGCTAAATCTTGTAGAAATGTTGTTTCCTAGTTTATGGTACGATATGGTCTATTTGGTTTCTATGTAAACCCAGCATTTTTGAAAAAAAACGTCTTCATAATGGAAGCTGGCATTGATGCTCTAGACTTAAACAGCAGGGCTAGGTGGAAAGCAGGACTGATAAGTACTCTAGAATACTCGTAGTTGTTTTATGCGTCATCGGTGCGGTCGATAAATCCCTATTCTCTAATTGGCGGTATCATTACGTTAAACGTTAATAGGACACAGTGCACAAGTTATAACATTACTCAGATGATGAACCTAGTTGTTCATAATTTCAACTGAAGAGGAAATGAGAAAAAGACGATGAAAATATATAGGACATACATTACGCAAATCATCAAACTGCACCACGAGACAAGCGCTAACTTGGGATCCTTAAGGGAAGCGGAAAAGAGGATGGCCATAGAACACGTAACGTCGGCAAATAGAAGCAGATATGGAAAAGATGAATAACAACTGGAAGGGGGTGGAAAGGATTGCTTAGGACTGGGTTGGATGGAGAATGCTGATGAGTGGGCTATGCTCGTTCACGAGGAGTAACAGGCGTAAGTAAGTAAGTAAGTAAGTAAGTGTTTCATTATAAATATGATTTATTTCATAAAACATTCTTGGGATAGAAGTAATTATGCAAGGTAGATTATCTAACAGTTTGTTAACTATTATCTGCTAGTATACAAACCTAAACCTTATAAAATAAAGATACACTGGTGATTCTAGAAGAAAAACGAAGGTAATCACATACTTATTTCCAATTTCACACTATTCAATTTGGAAAGGTAGAAAGGTTTCTTCTGCATTACCTTAAGACTAATTGGCGAAAATATAATTTATGTATTAACCAATCAGATTTACGATAACAGATCTTGGATTTCAGTGTAAAATTCATTCATCTAGTTGTCTAAATAGCGTTTTGGCATTATATCTGATATCAGTTCATGATGAAAACCTTAAATCTATTTCCTAACCTTAACCATTAACTGTAAATCACAATTATAATTCCTCACACGGTTTTATAATCGTCATTTAGTCCTCATTAATAAATGGACATTCTCTAGGTCACTTTAGCATCGTTCATTTGTCATCCATAAATTATAGTCTCACTAACTAGTTCAGGTAATGGCTACAAGATAGAAAACAAATACTCAATTAAGGTGTTTATTTGAAAACCTTACATAAGTCAACATATCATAATGTGTTAAACTCTCATGGTTTAAGTTAATCATACTGAGTTAGTGATGAAGATGCTACAGATATTCGGAGCTTGACAACGTTTTAACCAGTAACGCCTTCTAATATAAAATCAAAAGACAGAAGCTAAGAGGTTCAAAGATATACTTGATAGGCTATCAATATATCAAGGATCATCTGATCTACTCTGGTTTTCCATTGCAGGGGATGTTGAGCATGGTGTTCCCACCGAGCGCCTTCAGCTAAGTGAGTCCATTCAAACTAATGTGGTCAGCATCCAATGTCGAAGGCTTACAGATCTATTTATTTTGGGGATTTATTTACCACTACAGTGGCTTCGTCACTCCTAGAATTTTGTAAAATGTCTTGATGTCTTATTGGATTTTGTGAATTATTCATAGTTACATCTTGAGATTATTAATATATTAATGGCTTGTTAGGTAACATTATAGCAACCGATCAGGTGATAGAAAAGTGTTCGTCTCTATACTCAAGGTCATTGGTCTCAATTCGGACTCAAGTATTTCTAGTCACAAAGTTGAACCAATTAGCCTATTGTGTCAAAATGTTAACGTAGATCGTGACAAGAATGTAGCAGGTAGAAAAAAAGGTTGCAAAAGTTTTCTTGCATACATAATTCTAATTTTCCTAAATCTATAGTAAATGCTTTGGTAATGCCAAGAACATCAAAGAAACTCACTGGGTTTGGCAAATTTGTACTGATGTGTGGACGAGAGTGATCATGATTGGTTGTAGACAGTCTGACAGGTGTCAGATAAGTTATATATTCTATTATCCTTGTTATTGTGACACACACTTATTATTGACTATTCATTGTTGTAGATTGTGTTGATTTGGGTGTGAAAATATATTCACGTTGTGATCAGGTTAATTACGTGTTCTTGATCTCAGTTGTATTGACGTCCTGTATAATAGACACTGGGAGGGATCTAGTGTAGATAATCGTTTAAGCGTTATAACATTAGACAAAGTAATACCGAGCTTTATAACATGTACCTACCTTGTAGATGACTTTGAACTGTGAGTCAGTTTTAAACGAATAACATGTGTTCATATGGTGTTTGATTATAGAGCTTCTTATTTAAATGCTTTCACCTCTTTTCATATAAACCGGATAATATTCTTGAATTCTTCTTGATAAAATACTCATCAAACGACCTATATCCTTGGCTCTATATGAATAGGCACAGTCAGTCAGTAACAACGTAGAACTTCGTACGTACTTACATTAGTTCAAGTTGCCATACCACATTAGCACTCAAGTCCCATAGTGCTAGATGTAGTAAATGTATAAGCAGTAATCACAAACATTAGTGTTTGAAGACGTTATTCAAGGGGTATGATCCAGTGAAATAAATTTGGAAAGAGAAAAAAATGGACATGAAAAATTCAGAAGATTAGAATTTGGGAGATTATGAACAGTGGATGCACCTTCGCCATTGCAAACGATTTTGAGCCATATCATTCAAGATCTCTAACCATCGGTTGCTATTGTCTCGGGAATCTAAACCACGTAGTCTACACTTACCAACATAACTCACTCCACTTGTCAGTGACTTCATGGATTTGTGCCATGTTTTGTTCTGGCCGCCCTTATATTTCTTCCAACCTACTCCTACACCATAAAACATCGCATATCGGGGCAGTCGATGGTTGGGTTCTGCATACGTAACACATGTCCCAGTCATCTCAACTGACTAAGTTTCACTACTTCATCAATTGATTTGCCATCCTTACCTATTACCCATTTCCTAACAACTATATTACTTACTCGGTGGTCCCAAGATATACGAGTAATGCTTCGAAGACATTTATGATCAAATACTAGTAGCCTACGGCTATCCTCTACTGTTACTGGTCATGTTTCACAGCCATAAAATAGGACAGAACGAACTGCTGCACAGTAAACCTGTCCTTTGATTGGTATACACGGTTATCTCATCTATGCCATAAATGACTCAAATTTTCAAAATCTATTCAAACAAATACATTGACAAATGTATATTAAGTTGATTGAATCCAAGAGTTTACATTTTCGTTTATTAGTGAACACCAATTACCAAGATCATTTCTATAGAATGTAATCAAGAATTCTTCACTTTATCATCATTTCTTTATAATCATTAATAAAATACACATATTTATCTGATTGGTTAATTTATTATCATTGTGATAGAATTACAGACACACACACACACAGATATATCTTCATTAAAGACATACATTAGAATTGATAGATAAACAGACACACATTGCTTCAATTTAAAATAAATTAACCAATCAAAATCATTCAAAAATGACCATCCCATTTTGGCACAGAAACAAAACAAAACCAATAAAAAAATAAACAATAAAAGGAATCATTGAAAAATAAAAATAGAAATTTGACTCACATTAAAAAACAGTGAACATCATTTCTCTATTTCAATTTTCAAAAACAAACAAACAAACAAACAAAAATTATGTCATTGATCACTTTGAATACATCATCTATTCAATCTTCTATACTAGAAGAGAAATGTTCAATTCATGTGTATAATATGGAATATGCTGTAGGATTTTTAAGGGGTTATTTTAGTCCAATTATTGTAATATTTGGTGTATTTGGTAATATATCAGCATTTTATTTATTTTTAACCCATAAACCATGGAATCGTTTTTCTATTTATGTAATGACATTAGCTATTTCAGATAGTCTTGTTTTAATATCGAATACATTTTTAGATGATTTTCTTGGACGAGGTTTATATTATTTAACTAATAAACATATTATTATTAAATTAGATACATTATCATTAATATCATGTCAATTAATGGAATTAATTGGTACATGGTTTGTATTTAATTCTGGTTGTTTATTAGTTGCATTTAGTATTGATCGTGTGAATTGTTTATATTGGCCATTAAAATGTCGTTCAAATGGTGGTGTAGGTATGGCTATATTTATATGTAGTTTAATTATTATAATCGGTTTATTATTTAGTATACCATATGCTATGTTACAAACATTAATTGATAAAAATGCTAATATAACAAATAGAACATTAATAAACTTTATCAATACTACTACTCATATTACTTTTACTACTACTACTACTACTACTCCTACTACTAATACTAGTTCTACTACTACTACTACTACTATTAATATTGATAATAGTAGTATAATGAGTAATGATACTATACAAAATCAAATATATGATTTATCACATTGTTCTGATTGTATTGAATATCATCATGATGCAGAAATCATGAAAAGTAAGTTCTATCATATGTATTTGATAAAACAATGTTGTTCCGTTTTTTTTTTTGTTTGTTTTTTTTTTGTTTGTTTTTATTCTTGTTTTAATTAAAATTGTTTATATTTTCATTGAAGTGTAATAAACAAATAGTATTGATTGATGAAATGATCAGAAATTTTAGAGTATTCTAACCTAGGTTACTAAATATAATAACATGATTTTGAGAAAAGTGAACGAATAATGAAAAGAAATATAGAAAGAAAAAGAGGAAGGGGAGGAGGTGGAGGAGGTGGAGGAGGAGGAGGAGGAACGTGGAATATAGTACAATATACGTTGATATGTTTACTAGTCATATTGTATACTTTAGTAATGAATATGAATTTTGTTACATACTACTACTACTACTACTAATTAATCATTTTGTAAATATTATGATAATTTCTTCCATAGTTACAATACAAAAATCAATTAATCATAAACAAATGAAGATTTTGAATAGATATTTATTAACTTTTATTGTAACGAATTGACTTGATATTGTTGTTTCTTTGAATGTTCTCATTGATGTTTAGGATTACAATTGACTAATCTCTTGTTGGTATATGTGCATACTATGTGGATTACCTTGATATTGCCTTAATTCGTAAGCATTATAAGTATTATATATGGATAATGTGATGGCGTTGGAAGTGAATGGTACTGGGTTCGAATCCCAGAGTGAAAATCCACTCTGAGATGAAGGATCATACAGCTGACGAGTCCAGAATAGGACGAAACGTGCGTCTTGGATTCAGATGCTAGACACTATCCATCTTTGGTTATATTGTAACATTTTAAATTAATATACAACAGATTGTATTGCATTAATAGAATAGGGAAAATGATCAAAATCATACTAATATCATAGATATGATGAAAGCCTAAATATAAACGAATATAATTGAAATGAGATGAAGATATTGACAAAATAAAGTAATAAGGGATAATATTGAAATTGATAATCTAAGAGAAAATAACTGCTGAATGAATTTGTACAATTGCAATCAGTGTTGTTCCAGGTTATTTGGAATCATAATTGTTAACTATAGTTATTAGAATAGGGTTTTATGGACATTGTAGTAATCATAATAGTTGAATTTATGAATGGATTTAAGTTGGAACACCATAGAAAAATTGGAAGTGTTGGATGGCCTTCTTGTTCTAGTCTAGAACGAATCCAGTATTTAGGATCATAGATAGTGACTATTGAGGAGTCCTATACTAGGACAAAACGGTTGTCCAATGCTTCCAGGTTTTCAATGACGGTCTAACTTAAATAGTTTTATGAGTTCAACTATTAAAAATTATAGTTGTGTTGGATGTTCTCTTATTCATTCATTCAATAATACAGTGAACTGACAAGATGTGTTCAGATGACAAAAGAATCCGTAAAATCTTTCATTTGAACGCTTAAAAATAATTAACAGAGAGCCTTGAGTAATTTCAATATTTCATTTATGTTTTATCGATGCTTGACGTGAATCTATATCTACAATGTTAACAGCTAATTGAACTCTCGAATCAGTCCTATCGAGTATAACATTTTTGTAGTTTGTACACTGTTGTTCAAAATGCATACAAATTTTAGTCAACAAGAAACGACGTTTCGCTAGGGTCTCGGTGATCGGACGAGAATTGATGCTTCCAACTTGGTATGGTCCCACCATTGGATAATCATAACCAATGGTTGTAGACTCTGTATAACATGGCTCAGAATCGATAGAAATGGTGTAGGTGTATGCACTCGCTATCTTACCTTAAACTGTGAGATTAAAATCACTTCATATTCTTTCTATCTACGAACTAATTCTTCCTTCCTGTATAATACCCTTAAATGCAATCTTTCTTTTATATACTGCCACCATTGAATTAACTACTTCTATGAATTCGGTGTTCATCTTATTGTGCTAATGAGGTCTGGCAACTTGAACTGATGCATATCTGTGCCTGGTCCTATGTTGTAGCTGACTGAATGACCACGGTCTCAAAAATGATTGTCACCCGTGTATATTTAGTGTTATTTGTGATGTTTATTGGCTGAATAACATCATACGAAAACTCTTAACCTTAGTTTAGTGATAGTCGAAACTCATCAACATGGCATACTAGCATTTTGATGAAACTAACACTCCTTGTAAGATCTGAACACACATTATTCAGCTCCAATATCTATGGTATTTTCCGTCCTCTTGTAAGACTGAATTATTTGCTTTGAACAGCAATCATATTGTAACCAAAGCCTTTAATGCTGATCACATTATTTTGGTCAACACCTAATGCATGCAATAATAAACAGTTTAGGGTTGTAGAGATTATTAACTTATTAATTGAGATCTTGAACCGATCAATGTTAGACAATCATTAAAAACCTGGAAGCACTGCATGGCTGTTTCGTCCTATTATGGGACTCCTCAGCAGTGCACTTTCACGATTTCGCACGTGGGATTCGAACCCAGGACCTATCAGTCTTGCATGCGGACGCTCAATCAATAAGTTTACATTGTAATTACACAATATCTTTATCTACACCAACTAATCTACAATAAAGACTAGAAAAATATCTGATTTATAATACTTTCATTATCAATCAATTTAAGTAATCAATTCAATCTGAAATATAAACAAAATACCTATTTGTTAATAGGGTATATTAAGTTTGAATTCAATGGAATACCATTGATTTCAAGGTACATATATGTGTATATTATTTAAAAGTAAATTACTTGACTTGTAGGCGGGGGGGGGCATGTAAACAAAAGAAAAAGTGTCAAAGTCCATGTAATTTTTTTCCCCTTAACTTTGTTATTTTTTTTTCACCAAATCACTAACTACACTGTAGTATATGGTATTTCCATTTACTTGGAATTTCGTTTGTTCAATGCATCCTACTGAGTTATATATATATATATATATATATATCAAGATTTTTCAGATTTTCTTCACTTCCATTTTGGTTTAATGAATGTGTAGATCTTTTGCATCATTTGATGATGATTGATTATGGGTTATTTGAAGCTAGACCACTATGGAGAACCTGAAAGCCCCAGATGATCGTTTCGTCCTAAGATTGAACTACTGAGCAGTGCGCATCCACGATTCTGTATGCAGGATTCGAACCCTTGACCTTCGGTTTCGTACACGAATGTTTAACTTTTAAAGCACTAAGCTGGAATCCAACGGTCTTGGGTTCGAATCTCACGTTCAGGATCATGGGCGTGCATAACTTAGGAGTTCTATACGAGGACGAAACGTCCGTTCAGTGTTTTAAGGTTTTCATTGGTGGTATAGCTTACATCGACTCATGAATCCAACTATAAAAATTTCTATAATCTCTACCAAATGAACCATTTTGATCATAATCAGCCTATACACACAATCATGTTATAAATTTCAGAAAATGTAGCAAATGTTACATAATTAATGAACATTAATTCAAACTTACTAAAAGGTGCAAGTTCAATGGAAGCTTATAATTCAGGGAATAGTGGAATATAATAGTCTAAATATCTAATTATCCTGGGTTCGAATCTCGCAGGGGGCGAGGTCGTGGATGCGCACAGCTGAGGAGTCCCATAATAGGACGAAACGGCCGTCCAATGCTTCCAGGTTTTCCATGGTGGTCTAGCTTCAACTGACTCATGATCTTAACCATTGTAATAACTATAAAATCAAAATAAGAAGAAGCATTAACTGTGAAATAGCTTCGACACTTCCAATGTCTTCAATACTCTCTTGGTTATAATAAATATCCAAACCAATGATATATGACTCATTAACTTATTTGTTTTTAGCCATTTGGAAGTTTACAATGTAATATGTTCAATCTTATATTGTAGCTACTGATGGGTATTACATATAATTTATACTTATGAAATTCTATGTTAACCTATATTGCTATATCCCGACGAGAATATTGAATGGTAACTGTAAGGATCCATTTGTGGACCAGTACTATACATATACTCTTATTGTATAATTGTTAAGTAACTAAGCTATACATATTCATGTTCTTCTTATTATAAGCTTTATTTTGACCTATGAACTATTATTATACGATTTAGCATTCACGAGTTATACACCAGTCTATCAATTACTATCTCCCACATTCACAGCCATATTTAGCTAGATCCTGTACAAATGTGTGTCTCCTATTTTATTGGTACAGTGTGGTCTTTTTGGTTGGTATATAAACCCAGTATATTTGAAATATATGATTGATATCGCGAAGGCTGAGACTGGTGTTTTGGACCTCAACAGATAGGGCTAGTCAGGGAGAAGGACCGATAAGGACTCTAAACTGCACGTACAAGTTTATACATCATGAGTTCGGTCGATAAATTTGTTACTTATAATAGATTCATGTTTACATGTGTATTTGGTTAACATCTATTAACCTATGATCAAATGGCATCATATATTACTGAAAGTTACATAAGTATTATATGAATGACAATATTAAGATTCATATACCATTGGTAGAGGATAAATCTTTAGAAGAATGTAAAACCCATTCTGGATATAATTATTATTCACTATTCATAAACATAATAAATATACAAGAATAAGTTCGAGTTTTTATTTCTCAAACACAATTAGACAGTGACCGATAGTGGAATCTATGATGTAAATTTAATTCTATTTGGGACTTGTCGTCTGAGTATACCCTTAAATTCCCTAGTACGGTCGAGAGTTGAAAGAGCTAGCTCTCCATTTCCAAATGCTCTCATATAGTGCGTGCATAAAACCACTGACATGGAATTCCTACTCACTGCCCTGCAGCTCTGTTGTTTACGAAGTTAAGAAGACAAAAAGCGAATGTCTGGAGCTTTAACTGGGTCAGTGGACGCGGAGATTCTAGTTAGGGCAGTTGAAAAACCCTGACTACAAGCCAGTGGTGCACATAGCCTTCAGTATCCTGGAGGAACAAATAGTGTATGAATCTATTGCTGGTCGCCGTTTACCATGGGATCGCATCTG